TAACTATTTCATCTCATTGAATTCTTTCTCACTAGTCCAAGCAGCACAGAGTGGATAGGTTATGATAGACTCTTATTTAGAATTAAGAATGGTTTAATGCTGATTGAAAGGACAGCACCAGCTTACTCCAGACACTACAACCACTTCAATTTGATGATGTGGTCATGGTGCCTATAGTGTCCCTCTAAGTTGCCCATCAACACAAATATAAAATTATCTATTCAAATACATGTATTCATATACAGTAAGGGAACACTGTAGGCACTTTAACAACTTAATCTAATTTAAGTTGTTAGAGTGCCTTAACTATTTTCATCCTTCTCTTATTTTTCAAATCATTTTCTTTATTCTTTATGAAGGCTTTGAAGAGACACACCCCTAAATCAGCCGATTCTGAGAGCCGGGAATTTAACTTCCTTCGTTCATTTGTTTATTACAAGGAGAGAGCAGCTGGCTCGCAGTTCCCTCCTTGTAATATGTAAAAATAGAAGTGGCAGGAAGCTGTGCTCCCCGCCACTTCCTAACCCCCCACATGCTCTCCCCCCCTCACAATGCTGAGAGTAGGGGCATATCTACTAAACAGTGAGCACTGTGGTGAATCCCACTCATCTTCTGGCTAGCCGGGGGGGACATAGTGTCCCCCTGATCCCCCACCTGTGCCCCACGAGTGGGGTCCCTAAATGACAATGGTGGGGGACCTATTGTCCCCTGCCACAGGCCCCCACCCACGAGAGGCAGGTTGTGGGCCCTACATGAAAACAGGGGGGACCTATATTCTCCCCGGCCCCCACCCATAAGCGGCGGGTGGGGGCCCTAAGATGATACGGTAGACCTATTATCCCCCACCGCCCCCTTGTACGGTGGGTGGGGGCCCAAAATTACAATGGGGGGAACCTATTTGCCCCCCCCTGGCCCCAACCCATGTGTAGCAGCCCAAAGTTGATACAGGGCGACCTATTGTCTCCCCGCCACCCACCCATGTGAGGCATTTGGGGACCTACATAAAAATAGGGGGGACCTATTAACCCCCAAGCCCCCACCCATGAGCGGCAGGTGGGGGCCCTAATATGATATGGGGGGACCTATTGTTCTCCCCTCGGCTCCCACTCAAGTGCGGCAGGTGGGGACTCAAAATTACAATGGGGGAACCTATTGACCCCCCACGCTCCCACTCATGTGCAGTGGATGGGGGCCAAAGTTACAATGTCGACCCCCCCGGCCCCCACCCATGAACAGCAGGTGGGGGCCCTACGTCAATACGGGGAACCTATTGTTCCCCCCTGGCCACCACCCATGGGGTAGCAGTCTCCCTGCTGGCAGCCCCCCTGCTGGTGGAAAAGTTAAAATAAAGTTGTTAAAAGTTAATATATATATATATATATATATATATATATATATATATATATATATATAATTGGAAATGACCGCACTCCAAGGACTTGATGATAGTGAAAATAAAATATAATTTTTATTCTATATCATTTAAAAATATCGACGTTTCAGCCCCAATACATGGATTTTCATTAGGATGGCAATAAAGGGGTCCTCAACATCCCGTTGAGGACCGATGATGGTCCTGAACCGTCATAACATCTTGGGGTACTTACCTGATCTCCGTCGGTCCCCCAGCGGCGATCAGCGCTGCTCCAGTCTCCCCGCGGCAGATCAGGACCCCTATTTGTTTGTGTGGGAAAAATACAAAGAACAAATATGAACGCTAATTGCTAACCAATCTGACAATTTCAATGACAAAATCCTACCAGGGGTCGGAAAAGACAGGACTAAAACACAGCACTTAGGCACTAATCCTAGCAGCACAGGAACAGGCACTCAGCACTAGATCAATAGAAGCTGGAGTCTACCACACCAGGCAAGTCCCAAGGTGCAGATTGTGCAAAGAAGACCCTAGAATGAGGAATAATCATACCACCCAGGAGGGGTAAGAAAATCAATTCATGTATTTAAAATAAAAATAATTAATAAAAAAAAAGAAGAAATAAGAAAAAGAAAAAATTTCTTTGCATTTTTCACACATAAACAAATAGGAACGCTAGCTTTGGTCAGTGTTTATGACTAAGTGACTACTAAAAATCCTGGACAAACCCCAATTGTAATACATTGGGTTGTCTGCTTTTACAAATGGTATGCTATCATGGGGATAATTCTCATTCCGGGGCTACCATACGGTCTCAAAGGCAACATAACAAGGCTGGCAAATTTCGATGTGTATAAACTGAAAAATGTGACGTGTTATATTTGACTCTGTAACTTTCCAAAATACTGTAAAATCTTTACATGCAGGGTGCTGCTTTACTCATGAGACATCGCTGAATACAAATATGTGTACTTTGTTGCAGTAATAGCTAGCAGTATTATGACTTTCACAGTTAAAATTCCATGCAGAACTATAACAACAAGAAAAATAACATTTCTTAATTTATCACATTTATTTTATATTTTATTTTTTATTCATATTAAATAATGTTTCATAGTTAAGTATTTGATATTAAATGAAAGCCCAGTTTTTCCTGAATAAAATGATATATAATATGTTTGTACTCAATATGATACAGGTGAATTATGGTTGAACAGACATATAGCACAAATTTTAGGTTTGGTTTACATTTTGGTTTGATCACAAATTGTACATTTGGCTCCATCCTTAAAGGACCACTATAGGCACCCAAGTAGCCTTGGATTTGAGAGGTGTAAACTTTTCAGATATCTTGGGTGTCCATATAACAGACAAAAGAAAAGCAGGGAAACTAGTAGTGCAATATGTCAAACCTCATAATTTGTCACAAATTAAATACAACTCTAGAAATATTCTTAAGAGTTTGCCTTTATCTTTTAGGTGGTAGTGAAATTCACTTCCTTTCACATAGAATATTGCAAATTTATTTGTTCCTGCGTCTGTGACTATGTGAAGATCTCTGATGGAAACTCATTAAATGGTCCTCTTCTGGGCAGATTCTGTGGGTTTAAAGCACCTCCTTCTTTGAATTCTACGCAAAATGTAGTTATAATACATTTTCACAGTGATGGTTTATTAACTGCACGTGGATTCATATTTGAATATAATTTTGGTAAGGAACAGATATGAAATAGCAACAAATTCTTCATCACAATCAATGAATACATTTAATTCATGTTTTTAGCAGCTTATTCACTATGGGTATGTTACAATCTATCTTTTGACATGTATCTATTTTGTCAATATCAGTGTAGTGAACAAAATAACTCTATTCTTTACGTTATGCAGTGAATACTATTATCCCAAGGAAGAGTAATTGGCACATTAGCTAAACCATCAGACATTTACACTATTCAATAATGTGGGGATTTTACAATTAGGGCTCCCAGACATAAATTAGGCCAGGAATTTAACTGCACAAAATGCCACCAGACAGTTGAAATCTAGACCCAAATGCTTTAAATCCAGGCCTGGATGAGACTAGCAACTGGGCAGGTATTGCTGCCCAGTTGCTAGAAAGATGAACAGGGCATGTTAAATAACATGGGATTACAGAGTCCCTTACATCTCTCACTTGTGGGCATCAGGTGGGGGACTTGAAAGTAGATAATGGGATGTGAACAGATAATTGGGTGGAGGCCCTAACTATAATAGTAAAGGGGATAATGACTGTGTTTCTACCCTATGGCCACCGCGCATTAGTTTCTGGTGGAGACCCTATACTATTGAAGAGCCTAAAATTCTCCCCCGACCTCAGTGGTGTTTTGGAGTGTTTTCCTGACTTTGTAAAAATGTATGTTTTTCTGCTTAGAGTTAATTAAGTTAGCCCATTGTCTTTGTTAATTGTATCACAGGCAGAGGGGAGGGATTGTGTACACTGTATGGGGGTGTCTGAATGTAAACCTCTGTTTTGATCGGTTTGTATGTTTTGTATTTGGTGCCCAACTAGGTCCACCTGGGCGTCACCTTTTCTGTAAAAACTGTATAAAAACTCAAGCTGTTCAATAAACCTTTAGACCTGCTTTACCCCTTCATGAAGTCTTGGCTCATGTTTGGGGGATTGGGGAACTACACTCTGGGGATTGCTATAATCACTATACTCCCCTGAGTATAATCAGTAGCTCTTCTAAGAGCTGCTCCTGCTATGCTCTCTGGAGGATGATTGGGAGCTGGATCCTGGTCTTGGGTCCAGGGTGGGTGAAGGATGGCAAGACCCCAACCAAGCTGCGGCGGTTAGTGGGGTCTGCAGTGCTTATGGTTTCTTGTGGAGTGCTTGGAGCCCTCAGAAAGCACTAGAACCATTGATTGGCGGATATACTCGGTCGAAGTGCCAGGCGGTCCGTCACAATTATAATAGATAATTCACTTGTAAAAAAAATGAGCTGGAGAGGAAAAAGGGGAGAAAAAATGAAAATTGTATACGAAGATTGTTTGGCAGATCACTCCTCCCAAGAGCAGAGGTGTCGTGTGTTGCCATGTCAATGCCACTCACATACACATACAAAGCACCCCTTCCCACACACTGCACCCCTCACACATACACAAGTCAACCCTCACACATACACACAGCACCCCTAGACCCTGTCACTGCAATCTGAGTGTATTCAGCAGTCTGTGCATATTTAATAGTCTCATTGTGTGTATTCAGCATTCTGTGTGTGTATTCAGCAGTCTGTGTGTGTGTATTTAGCAGTCTGTGTGTGTGTGTGTATTTAGCAGCCTGTGTTTGTGTGTACATCAGAGCTCACACACACACACACATCATCTCTCACACACACAAAGCACCCCTCATACACACACACACACACACACACAGCACCCCTCACACACACACACAAACAAAGCACCCCTTACATACAACGCAACCCTCACATATAACATCCCAGACAAACACACACATACTACATCCCTCACTCACAAAACAAGCAGTTAATTAAGTTAGCCCATTGTCTTTGTTAATTGTAGATTACAATTGTACATCCCTCACTCACAAAGCACCCATCATGCACACACACACACATACAACATCCCTCACACACACAGCACCCCTCACACATACACACAGCACCACTACACCCCTCACTGATGTGTGTATGTGTGAGGGGTGCTGTGTGTGTGAGGGATGTTGTATGTGTGTGTGTGTGTGCATGATGGGTGCTTTGTGAGTGAGGGATGTACAATTGTAATCTACAATTAACAAAGACAATGGGCTAACTTAATTAACTCTAAGCAGAAAAACATACATTTTTACAAAGTCAGGAAAACACTCCAAAACACCACTGAGGTCGGGGGAGAATTTTAGGCTCTTCAATAGTATAGGGTCTCCACCAGAAACTAATGCGCGGTGGCCATAGGGTAGAAACACAGTCATTATCCCCTTTACTATTATAGTTAGGGCCTCCACCCAATTATCTGTTCACATCCCATTATCTACTTTCAAGTCCCCCACCTGATGCCCACAAGTGAGAGATGTAAGGGACTCTGTAATCCCATGTTATTTAACATGCCCTGTTCATCTTTCTAGCAACTGGGCAGCAATACCTGCCCAGTTGCTAGTCTCATCCAGGCCTGGATTTAAAGCATTTGGGTCTAGATTTCAACTGTCTGGTGGCATTTAGGCTCTTCAATAGTATAGGGTCTCCACCAGCAACTAATGCGTGGTGGCCATAGGGTGGAAACACAGTCATTATCCCCTTTACTATTATAGTTAGGGCCTCCACCCAATTATCTGTTCACATCCCATTATCTACTCTCACTCCTGTGAGTTGTTGTGTAGACAGGGTCCCAGTGCACTGCTTTGGCCAGGGACCCATAATGCTGTTAAGATGGCACTGCTGAAAGAGCTTTTCTTAATTTTGATCTTTCATCAGTTTAGAAGATAACTCCCTCATGTGCTATCCTTAAGTGGGGTTTCCATATTAAAGGATAACAAACAAGCGAGCTATCTGCTACACATCTTCCCAATTTGGTATCCTAAAATATGGCAATCCCACATTTAGAAAGTTAAATATAAATCAATCCTCTATTATGGTCCAGAATGTTTCTAAATTTCCCATGATTCTTTGCCATCTTTAGATCATCTACATTCTACCTTTTAGATATACCTGTTCTTTCCTGTAACACAATTCCTCACCTAACCTATTGTTCTTTCTTTCAGTGGGCTGATTTAGAAGATTTCTGAAGACCAATCTGGAAAAGTGAAAATACAAATATCCAACTTTTTTTTTTTAAATGAAGATAAATGGTCCATCAATGCAATATTTCTGGAAATTAGCACTGGCAAATATTTTGTAATTTAGAAGATTTTTAAAGTTTGAACTGAAATATTCTGTTATAATGCACAAATACATGAGTTTGCAGAGCACCTCATATTTGTCTTGTCATATGTACTATACTGATTTAGGCCAATCAGTGGCCTTGATTTAATTCTTTAAAACATACTAAAGGAATGGGAAGCACAATAAATACCACCTAAACACACTGTGAAATGCTTTCCTGCATTTAAGGAATTATACACATACAGTCACATCTGCAAAGAAACAAACAGAATTCTCATAGTATAGCTGTATAGCTGCTGTTATGTACTTTTAATACAGATATACACTCACACTCTACAGAGCCATATAAAGCTGGCTCTGACTGTAAAGGCATTGAAAAGTATACCCCTCCAGTTCACTTTATCCCTTCAACGCTCTGCACGCCCATGGAATAATGCAGGTACTTCAGGTAAGTATAAGTAAATCAACTTTAATTTGGAATTAACACAAAAAAAATAAAATGAAAGGTAATGGCACAAGCCAGACACAAAGTGTCCAATTGCACAATGCTTTTCAGCCCAAATAGCATTCCTCCTGGTGCATACAATTCTCAGTTAACTACTCTTTTTTTATGCTGTGTATCTGGAAATTGGAGATTGTGCGCTTTCCCTCCGTTTCCTACTTTTGGATTAAATCCTTGCATTAAGACATACTTTTGCCTAGGCATCACTTCCTGTGACGTTGTGGCAATAAGTCTATGTTTTATTGCTTTATCACTGTGCCTTTTTTGAGTAATTTAAGGCACTGGGTTTAGCTGTGTGTACTCCCTAATAGTGCCAGAACACACTCCATATTCACTGTTTTGTTTTTTTATTTATTTCACTTGATTTAATTCTATTGAATACAATATTCAAATGATTACAATGTTAGAATTTTGTTTTCAAATAATTTATCTGCAAACATTATCTTAGACTTTAATGGAGATATCTGTAGATAAATAATTTCAAAACTGTTTCTTGTGGGTTGTGTTCATTTCAAAAGCTTATCCAAAATAATTAAATCAGCTTTCAAAACTGCTCACAAGTCTACCTAGGAGTATACCTAGTTTTCTATGAGGTCTTGGGAGGCAATCAACAAGGAGACCTAATTGATGTCTTAGCCTTCTAGTGTTTCCTTCCTAAATGACAGGGGAACTAAATGTTTTGTTGTAATAACAAAGAGGGAACATGTACTGTATTGTAACTGGTAATGTTACCCTGAGAGAATGGATGTAAAGGGTATGAAGTGGGGTTCTAGCGGGAGTCTTATGAACTCCTAAGTTAGGAGATTCTGACTTCTCCAATTTGTTGTTATCGTATACCCTAAGGTGTGAGACATACTACTAAGAAGAGTAAATGTGACAGCATGCTGGTAATAGTGTAACCCTGCATCAAGTGGCAGCTTGCATAGTGCCAAATGGTGAATAAATTATCTAACCTAGGGGAAGGTAAAGGCCCTATAAAGTGCCAAGTGGCTGTGAGTGGCTCTAGCTATGAATTGGCCGAGGGACTGAGGCTACCGAAGTTGTGGGAATGTTGTTCTCTTGGTGACAGTAAAAGATTCAAATGAGTTTTGAGCGAGGCTCTAGCTATGAGTTGGGACGATGGACGAATACCTCCATGTGAAGATGGGAGTTGGTCTCACTTGACTGAATTACAACTATACTAGAATATAGCCCACACCAATACCATTTACAGCCAGTTGATATATCCTTAAGGAATGCAGGGCAATAGAAACCTAATGAATTGATAAAAGTATGTTGGGACGTACTTATCTTGCCCAACTAGTGTGTGGTTGAGTTTGAAAAAGGAATATCATAGATACATCCACAATGGAAACGCTAATGGGGATATGTCCAGGATAGTGTAAGTGCTAATTGAGATAAGTGTAAAATGTACCTGTGGTGTGTTTAGGGATTAAAACATCAACAACAGGATGAAAAGATAATAATGGGACTCATGATTATGAGCATAAACCTAGACTTATCATTATGGATATTGATGAGAGATATCTAGCAGTGCTGCATCTAGTTATAGGTTCCCACTGTGCGTACGTCCACAAGAAGGACCTGAAGTATGTATTAGAAAGATGGGAATATCTCTAGTTTACCAGCAGGAAAGGAAATATGTGAGATATAGTAAGTGCTTGTGAAAGGAGTTGTGGATTATACAAGGCTTAGGTAAAACGGTGACAGACCAAAGAGGCCTGAATATAGTTAAATGTGTATTGAGGGGTTCTACATTCTCAGGATTGCAGAAAGAGGAATAGGAAGGAACTGCTATAACAATCCCAAGAGGAATAGTCAACTGTAGTATGATAGGGTTGTAGTTGACCCTTGTAAAATTATGTATGTAACCTATGGAGTGAAGGCCTAGTGAGGGGCATGTCCACAGGCTAACATATCCTTAACAGCATCTAGTTTCCATGATTCAGACCTGAAAAGGTTAAATGATGAGATGCCAACCACTAGTTCCCGCATGAAAATTCAAGATGTTCTTAAAAAGAATGGGACAGTAGATAAGACGGAGCATTCCTCAGTACAGGTAGAAACTACTGCTGTGACAGGTAATATATGCAAGACAAGTGAAATGTTGACACATTCTAAATTCTTATGTAAATTAGAAGAACATGAAGGAACATACTACATGTCTGTAGAAATACAGAATTCGCTATCCAAACCTTTCAAAGGGTTAATAAATACTGGTTTGCAGGTCACTATCTTGTTCAACACTTACTTCCAGCAGGTAGTAGATTTAGCAATGGATAAGCCAAAGCTAAGACATTTCCCCAATGTTCTGTTTAGGGTGCAAGGAAATACCCTTCATGTTATTGACAATACCTGGTTAAAAATAGTTTAAAATAGGTAACAAAAACTTTAGACAACCGGTGATAGTGGTAGATCTCTACTATGATCGACTGATTCTGGTTATAGATATACTCAGAAAACTAAACACAATTATTGACTTGTTGGGGTCATATTACACTGCTCGGCAAAACGTTCCATGCACCTCACTTTTTGACCGAACGTTTGTGGAGATCTTTTCAGTGATACACAGACAAGTGTTTCAAATCGGGCTACTACTAGTGTATTAAGGGTCAGGCAAACCTATTTATAGATAGAAGTTACATCAAAAGTAACATGACAGGATTGCATCAGCTAAACACAATATTGCTTATTCAGCAACCAACAAAATGTATTTCTGTAACCAGAGGTTAAAAGATTAATTCTTTGATGATGTGTAACAGGTTTTACTATTAAGTTGATATTTAACAATTGCTATTTCTAATATAGTCTGGTGCATTTACAGTAGTCACGTACATCATTTTTAACCCTTTCATTGACTGTGTGAATGGAATTGTGTGGTCACAAGCTAAGGTTCACATAACCTATGAAAACTCACATGTTAAATCAGAACATAACTGCCATGTTATAGAAAAAAGGCCTGACACTATTGAGATCCATTTTAGCAACAGTCAGTCACCTGACGAGACTATTCTGAAGTTGAATTATGCAATCGCACCTGTAGATGAACATTCTGTAAGAGTTGTTCCAGGGAGAATCCAAAATGCCTCTCTGGAAGGTGATGTTTTAAACATTACTCTTCACAGGGACTAGGATGAATCTGTAGCAATTTCCACCGCAGTGTTCTAAGTGTTCACCTGGGTGGCCACATTCCCTATGAATGACCACGAGGTGGCAGCCATCTTGTTCGCACAATCGCAGGCAGGGGTTTGGTTGTCATGTTCATTGAACCATTTTCGGACTCTGAAAACTCCCAAACACTGCCGGACTACCATGATCACCTGCATTTGGTTCTATAACACTTA